GGACAGATTGTTGGCGGCATAGGAGGCGTAAAGGATGGTTTCGGATTGCGGGTCCGCTGCATAAGAAACGTTTATTGTATTCCAGAACACTTTCCCATTCAACTAGCTCTCCATGGTATTTTTTGATACATTATCTCAATTTCTTCATCAAATACTAAAATGAATATATTCCTGTGGTCAAAGCATGGAAGAAAGAACGACGAGGCCGGCACTCTCGAACTCTGGAAAACAGAAAGTAAAATGATAGTCCTTACCGGTACTCAAGCGCGATTTTTTAGCACACTTAAAGTTACGTCGCGAATAATGGTACATAGAAGATACCTTGGTCCTTGGGACGTTGTCCTTCCGACATAGTGCGTTGGCGCAGGTGGTGGCGAAGGTCTCAATTTGCCACCTGCAGCTGCAATGGTGGCCGACCCACTCCTGCCACACCCTTGTGCTAGGGGCCATCGAGTTTCCAGTATTTTGAATATGAAGATATTGTGACCAGAATTTGGCTTCTTTCAACATATTCCAGTGGCTACACTCGCTCTAAATTGCGGTTGCTAAGACAGTTACGGCCGTGCTTTCGATCGCCGTCTTCAAAATGTCACCATCTCTATGCGTGACCAAAGAATCTAGCAGTCTGTGTAGTCGATGCGTGTTAGCCTTTTAAAGGTGTTCCGGTGGTTACAATCGCTCTGAACTGCGGCTGTTACCGTAGGAGAGCTGCGCCCGTGCTTTCGAACGACGTTTCAAAATTCCGCGATCTCTAGGGATGGCCAGATAGTAAGGACGGCGGCCGACCCGCTCAGACCCTGATCTTATGTATGTTTACATTACAAAGATTGTCCAGGAGTGAAGTACATGTAGCGTAGCACATAAGAATCAGTCGGGTGCGTTCAGCGCTTGGTTCATCAGTGCTAGGTCCCAAATGAGACTCGCGTATTAGGACTCGAGGATGCCTACTACCCTTAAGGAGATCGTGTTCGTGGCAGACCTTTGTGATGTATGAGTCCTAGATCATCTAGACCTTGCTATTTACGTAGTCGTGAATAATTCGTATCCTAAGGAACTAAGCAAGCTCTCCTAAGCTTCGTATCTTATATCGGGCTGTAAAGTGGCGTTTAAACTGTCGATGGTACTCCTAGTCGCCTTAACGAAATAGAACGACGATATCATCTGCAGCTGGTCTGTGGTCACGGCTCTGGTGACTCCGCAATGCACCCTGAAGACGAGTTGACCTCGTCAATCTGTACAACCATAACCATCAGCACCCACCTCCAGCAGCGGAACGAAAACCCCCTTGCCTCCGTCGCCTACACCATCCCCACCGCGTCCACCTCAATCGCCCTCACCCTTCTCCGCAACGCCGTCGGAACCGGTGTTGCGCACCTGTTACGCAGCACCGACGTACAAGAGACTTATGCTCTCAGAACACTGCGCGACGGCCCGGAGATACTGGCGCGCGATCTCAGCAGGAACGAGTTCGATGCGCAGTGGTGGGTGGGCAAGAGCAAGGCCGAGATCAAGGCTAGACCTGGAGCGAATGAGCATTCTGTAAGAACAGTGAGCAGGGTGCTTGATAGGAATGGAAGGGGAGAGGCGAGTAAGAGGAGAGAGCGGAGGAGTAAGATTGAGGATCATAATTTGGGATTGGAGTTAAGGAGACAGGAAGCGGCTGAGCGCGGGCAAAAAGAAGAGGCCGAGCTCCAGCAAGAGGAAGAGGAAGGTGGCGAGGAGGAGAAGCTGGAGGATGAAGAAAGTGACGAGGAGGAGGAGCAAGAGGAAGAGGTAGATGAGGATACTATTATCGTGAAGATGCCAAAGGGTTGGCGAGGTCGGCAATGAACGGATACAAGTCGAGAACTTGTTTGTCAGGACGACAAACAGCAACTAGCCATCCTATAGTAGTCGCCCTAATCGTACTGCGTTCATCGCGTATAGCATCGATGTGGGGGACGGATATAACTATACAAGATGAATCTCATTTAGAACCAGTGCCTTTGCCTACCAATGAGAACGAGATTATGTTTCTGAAATTCGAGCTATATAGCTTTCACAAGACAACGCATCTGCAAATATTATGGATACATGTTGGGATCGGATTTGCCGAGCCACGCAAACCATAGATGGGTTGTTCGCGCCTCGGGATCTTACTAAAATACAGAAGTCGTGATTGGCGCGTTCACCTCGTGAGCGATGATCTTAGATGGATCGAAGTTAGTCAGTCAATAGACGACTCAACATCATGGTTTCGTTGAGAACGGGTGACTAGGGTCTAGCTTGATATGTTCTTCTTCTCCCGATTCATTTTGGGTCTTTCCGCTTCTTCATGGCTTAAATCCTCGACATCTCACGCCTCGAATTCGTTTCCTTGCACGCCCCGAATTCTCCCAATGGGTCTCGAGCAAAACGAGGGCAGTCGCTCGCTGAGCAAGGCAGATATAAGAAGTGTAATTGCAAGAGAGGCAGATGCAAGTCATGCAGCCGCAAGCACTTGTTGTTTTCCGCTACATTTCTCGCGATTTCAGCGGAGTCGCCCCGGAGCAGTTCAAGGTGAAGCATGTCAAACACTGTGAACAATCCTGTTCCTAATGTGATTAGACAATTCTTCACTAGAAAAATGCGAAGATGTCTTCCGCAAGCATGCGAAGTTGACTCGTCATCATCTGAAGAAGAGTGACTTCACGCCGAACTTGCTGTTTTTGGTTGTCGCCCTCACCGCACTGAATGCCGCCACGTTCGCTATCAGCAAGAGAGAAGCTGCTAGAGTATCGAAGCTTAACGACAACGCATCAGCTATCTTGCGAACGGCACTAAAGCAATTCTCTGCTGGGAGTTCTCGGGTGCCCTTCGTCGGGCTCTCCACCGAGCTCGTATGTACGTTTGCGAGAGCTAGAGATCTTCAGAGACAGAATCCAGGCGCATCAATCGTGGTTGGCGCTGTAAATTTGGGTCAATTTGAAGAGAGTAGTCTCGTGGCGTGCAACGATTTGCGAGAACGGCTTGGTCTCAACCCAGCAGAAGAGTTTGACTTTCATATCCTTGCATGGAGCCAGCTCCCTCGACAATCGATCGCATTCATCTGCCCATGGTCCAAGGTCATGGACAGCAGAATTGCGCGAATTTGCTTTCCGGTGTTGCGACTTGCCCCGCCTGTCAAGCGAAGAAGAATCGGAAAAGCGTGGATGCAAGAACCGGAACAATTCAGACAGGAGGGAGTACTCGATGTTTTTGAGATATACGCCTATCTTCACGGTAACTTCGAAATGAGCTTGAATGGCGGCCTCACCAGGAACATGGTCGAGATTTGTCTTGCATGGAGTTTGGGCCACACTACGCTGGGCAGCACTTCGCCAGAACGACTCTTCGATCCCAGCATGATGCGGGAAATCGCGGATTGCCCCAAGTTTATCAGAAACACCAAGTCGTACCACGTTCTGCTCTGCAAGGGGTCATGGAGGAATGTCATTATGCCCATCAAGAAGGGTATATCCTCAGTCAGGCCAAATCAGATCAAAAATCAGGGCATTGGGTTTTTGTACGTCCAAAGTCTTCGAAGAAGCAGCCACGAAAACCCGTGCGGTCTTCTTCTTGTCCCTTGTTCTCGTCCCCACGGCAGGATAGTGAGAAGCTCAACATCACAGCCGACTGTCCAGAACTCCGGGAGAAGCAGCGACGGATGAAAGCCGCTACATATCTAGGAAACCAGGCATGGTCAGAAGCAGAGGCGAAGAAGAGCTCGCGACTCCACAACCCAAACCGCGAAACTATTAGACCCTCTTATTAACAACAATTGAGCAGTGTACGTTCGAGGGCCACGGAATTGCCGAGTGTTGAAGCGATCTTGTCCAATCCTAACACAGTATAAGATTCCGGCCGTTCAGGTCAAACGCGCATTTCAGCTCAAGTCTGTTTTGTCGAGCCCTCGCCGGGAAATCATGCCACTCCATTTGCCGAGACAAGATGTATGGAAACGAAATCTCCACCCCAAGCTCAATCAGCGAGCAAAAAGTTGAATGTGGTTAAAGATGAGGTCATAAACAACCAAAAGGAAAGAGCGAAGAAGGGCCTTAAAGTCAATGAGCGTCAGGCTGACAACATTGCGACCGACTCATCGTGCGACGAAGATCATGTGCTGAGCCAGCAAGATCGTGAAAGGCGCGAAAGGCGTGAAAGGCATAGAAGGCGCGATAGCCATCAGGCAATTCGCGAGTACGACTTTGCCTCAACTCTCAAGGCCCTCCTCTCAGCGACTATCCTGCATTCCGTTTGATAGACGTGCCACATGCACTAAGAGCCGACGGCCCCAGTACCATGGCCCCTGGCTTCGGCTTTGACCTTACTCGCCCAATAACGACGCGTAATCCCCCACTCTTCAGCATCAATAGCAGCAACCCTGCAACTGGGGCACCGACCGTCCCAAGGATCCCTCCACGCAATCCAGCGCGGAGCAACAAGCGGGAGGAGGATGAAGAGGCACGTAGCTTCGCGGTCAGGAGGGAGATTGGGAAACGGAGGTATTTCGACGAGTAGGCATTAACCGTACAGGAAGTGATTGTAGGGTTGCATGATAATTGTATATCGTGAGGGTATGGGTCGCGTGAATACTACATTAGGGGTCTTTCTTGAATTTTATCCATGTTGAGCGAGGATCGGTGGCCGAGCCACTCAGGTGCTCATATGCACAGGATTGTGGCGGGACTGGAGGATGCGCGTGTTGTACTGATAATTAGAAACTCTCGATCGCTCCACGAGGTCAGCAAAGATTACACTGAACATGTGGTGTTGGGCTGGGAGACGGTATAGCTTGGGAATTGGCAATGTTCTCCGGAAGCTCTTGCCGGGCGACAGACTTTGTATGCAGTAAAAATAACCAATTTAATGACGCGGTTAAACTCAAAGTTGTGTGTGAATAGAAAAAAACGCTAAAAAGAAAAAAAAGATGAAGCAGCCAGATCTTGCGACCGATGTGGGACTCGAACCTGAAGCATATTAGCGGGCGTTGTACGAGTAGATGCAGAGGTGAATCGTACCCACAGCCTTGGCCTTAGGAGGGCCACGCGCTACCATTGCGCCAACCGGCCTCCGAAGAGGAATATTAGAAATTTTGGAGAATTAAAAGTTATATACTACAAATAATAAGAATGCAGAACTAAAACTCGCTCAAACAAGCCGTTGGATTTCTCGAGGTCGCACAGACAAAGAACAATTACGGTGACTCACAAAAACGGGCTGTTCGTCAAGTGGGGCGGGAAAAGCGGGGTTAGAGCACGACACAAGGCAACGTTGAAACCCAACATGAACTCTGGGCCGCGTGCCCAGGCGTTGACACAAACCGAGAAAATGGAACACAGCTGTTGAGATGTGTCGAAGGATGGGCCATAGGACCTGTTGCGGGCGAGTTTCCATGGTTGCATCGAAGTCACGCCCCGCAGTCCCCCCAGTGCAGACCATGGCCGGTCTACCAGTCCAGATGGTTCGTCGCAGAATAATATTGATTACGAAATCTAAATCGAGGCAACGGAATCGTTCTATAGTGAACGTAAAAAGCTTGCTCCATTGGGTATTGTCACGTGAGGGATATATTTGCCACTGTTTGACAAGAATGTTTGCCTACAGTATATCTGATGAATCGGTTAACAGGGATCATATCACAGCATCATCTTGAAAAGTGCGAGAAATAAAACTGAAGGCTTTCATTGATCCCTACGGTCGCAGCGATTATCGGCGATGTGACATGCGAGGCAAATCTCTAACCGGAACAGGCCGATGACCCTGTTGCATCGGTATTTGCATTCTTAAAGGCGGAATTTCTCTGTCTGGTAGAGGTCCGCCTTCGTAGTGTGATCGATAGCTATTGTAGCTATCTGTATCATCGTCGTCGCCGCCGTATTTGAACCAGTAGACGTAAAATATTCGAACGACAAGGCCTAAACCAATGATAAAAGGTATCGTCTGACCCGCGCTGTCCAAGGAATTGACATTTTCAATCTCGTTCCAGTCGATCGTAACCTCGACGGCAACAGTTACTGCAATAGCCGTGAGGAGTTTAAACCAGGAGTCCATGTTTTGGAGAAGAGCAATATGAGCGGCTTTGCGCCTGCGTGATATCTGCCTGTTAAAGATCAGCCATTTTGCACGATGTGACACGACCAAAAAGAACAAGCTATCCATTGACTCGAGGCACGATTTTAAGATAAAGGAGCAATCAAGACCACCTACCTCTTTGGACGGGATTCGGAAGGGTCGGGAAAGCCAACCATGTACCTGAATTTCAGGATCAAGATGTACACTGCCACCAATCCCAAGAAAACGTATACCAAGGCATTGATAACAATCAAGGCCGTGCTATTCAATCGAAGCTGCCCGAAAAAGAATCCGTACTGCTGGCATCCCAGCCGGTCCAGATCAGGCACGCGGTTGAACCAAAACCAGTACTGGTAGATGAGCACTCCGATCAACATGATGAAACTCAGGTTCGAAGCCAATGCACTTGGCCTTACGCGTGGCCACCGACTCGGGTCCCAAAATGGGTCGCAGCAGGTCAGGAGTCGCCAGAAGTAAATCGGGACGAGTGCCAAGTAGGCTCCGAACATGAGCAGTAGGACAATGTACGTCTCAACTGGCTGAAGGCTGTCGACATCTTGCGCCGTCAAAATGATCAAGGCCAAGAAGGTTGCTGCGACGAACAGATCGATGGAGAAACGAAAGGGGTTGACCTCGGTAGGTGCGATCCAGGCAGCGAGAACTCCTCCGTACCATTGCAGGTAATAACCGAGCCGTATGCCTAGTCCATACATATCCGCATTCCCTGAGAAACGACATACGGTCATCGTGCTTGACGTATTGCTGTTGTGCGGCTTGGATATGAAGGTAGGAGAGCTGAGCTGAACAGAAGCATGGCGGCGGACGAAGGCTGAGCGCCTGAAAGCTCATCCACGCCGTACCACCGGGCGACATGTATAATACAGACACTGCATCGACCTGATAGGGACCTCGAGCTGAGAGCTTGGGGTGGAGGATGCAGAACCCTGGTTCATGGGGTAAATTTGGTTAGCAACTGGATTATGTCACACCCATCCCTACCTCAAAATTGGAGGGGCTGGGTTCCGGTCAGCATATACCCCTCAACACCTGTTCGCTCTCGAGCAATCATCGCGGAGAAATGGAACACGACATCATCTCGCGATATGCAAAGGAAGGGATGCGTGGCATACTTCCGGATCCTGCTGTTTGGCGAACCCGAAGTCACGCAGGATCGTCGCTTCCCGCTTTCGCCTGTTCGTCGCCGCCCAACCTGCTTCACTCGCGTCGTACTTTGTAGGAACGTTACCAAAGAGGAGGACGCCTCGATTCAAAAAGGAACGAAGGGTCCGGATGAATTCCTCGAGGCTAGAACCGAACGATCGCGGTTGATCAGTCTCCATGTCTTCTCCACGGCCTATCGGTTGCTGTGCTCAGCCCTTATCGTGGTGGCTTGCAGCTTTCCAAGCCAAACATCGATAGACTTGCATAGCTCTACAATGATTCGTCCAGATTTTGGCAGCCGCTCTCGCCCCTACCACAAACACATCTAGACTCTGCGCTCACTCTTGCTGCACGATAGGCGGCCAGACCATTGTCGACTATGAAACCTGCCAATCTTGCTATTGTCCATGCCTGACTTGTCCATCAAGTTGACCGCACATTGCCGGTATCCGTTCCTTGTCTAGAGCTGTACAATATCTCACGGCCAAGATATGCCCAGCCTGCTTGAAGATTTCGCCGACAGGCGTGACGCGGGCCAACCGTTCGGGAAGTCCTTGAAGAACGCCATCTTCCAGGCCAAGAATTCACTTCTGAATCTTGACGATGAAGGAACCGGCGAGAAGTTTAAGCTTTGGAAAGTGCGTATGAGGGGGAGGCAGGACGATGATCCCATGTCAGTTCCAGAATATTGTGTTATATACCTCTACAGGGAAGCTTGCTAACAAGCAATAGTGATTGGTGGTTTGCTTCAACAGCCATACCGTATGTTGCATTTCTGCGTCAGAACTAGCCCAGACTGATCATATCTGAGAATCTTGGCGGCGACGCTTGCTCCTCTCGCAAATGTACTGAGCATAGGGGCTTTGGTAACATTTTGGCGACTTGATCTTCACGACCCAGATGATATTACAAATACGGTACCACAGCTGAAGGCGATATCAATACCCGATCCTCGTTGGTACTTGCTTCCTTCTAGTCAACGATACTGCTCACTAACTCGCCCAGGTGCTACTGGATCAATGTTTCTTCACTGATCCTTGGCTTCGTCGGCAACTTCTTCCTCTTGCTGAACTTTACCAACCGCATCCGCTACATCATATCACTCCCAACAACGATTCTTCTTTGGTTCACAGCATGCGGCATTGTGGGTAGCTGCAAGTATAACCAGTGCCATCCGACTGACTGCTACACAGCTCATTGGAGATCTTGCGGCAATGCATACTCACGCGCGACCTGTCGCCCCATTCGAAATATATTCCGGCGGCTTTTGGTATGCAATTGCAGCTGCATCTTTCTATTTCCTACTTGCCTCTCTCTTGATGGTCAACTTTGTCGGCTATGTTCGAGGTCATTACCCGCAGTACTTCGATCTCACCGAAGACCAACGCACCTTGATCATTCAGACAATGTTTTATTTCATCTGGCTAGCAGGTGGCGCAGGAGTATTTGCTCGTATAGAAGGGTGGCAGTTCAACGATGCGGTACAGTCGGAATATGATGACCACATCTAGAAACAGACTAACATGACACAGCTGTACTATTGTGATGTGACGATTTTGACCATTGGTTTCGGAGACATATACCCCACAAAGACGGCGACTCGCGCAATTGTCATTCCGTTTTCGTTGGGCGGCATCATAATGCTAGGTCTTGTAGTCTCCAGCATCTACCGATCAGTGCAAGAGTTGGGTGAGAAGAAGGTATCTCGCAGCCATTTCGAGCACCAGCGCGCCAAAGCCGAGGATCGAGCTGTAGCAACAAGTCTTGAACTACAACGAAAAGAGATAGAAGCCGGTCTATTACGCGAGCGACAAATGGCAAAACAAGCAGCCAGGCCGAGTGCTCGTTCTCCAGCAACAGCCCTGCAATATCAGCTGAGCGTTGATGGCGGGATGTCTCGTGATCTAGCAGTAACCAAGACTAGTACATTTGGAAGTCGAATGAAGAAGAATGCACGGATCAAGCTGCTTCGCGATGAAAAGCAGCGCTTCGAAGAAATGAGGAAGCTACAGCAAAAGGCCAAATTGTGGAAGAATTCGTTCCGCCTAAGCATGAGTCTTTCAATATTTGCCATCTTTTGGTGCGTCGGCGCCGTCGTCTTTTGGAAAGCCGAATCCGGCACCACAGGCCAAACCTACTGGGAAACAATCTATTTCTGCTGGATATCGCTCCTCTCCATCGGATACGGCGACTTCTCGCCCAAAACCGGAGCCGGACGCTGCTTCTTCCTAGTCTACTCGACCATCGCCGTCCCCAGCATCACCATGCTTGCGTCCGACCTCACATCCACATTCGTCTCCGCCTTCAACACGTGGTCCAGCCGCATCGCAGACTTCACGCTCCTACCCAAGCAAGGCATCTGGACCGCGCTGGTCGAGAAGCACCCCTGGCTCTCGCTCGGCCTCGCGCAGGCAAAGCGCGACTGGCAGTCCAAACACAACGAGCTGCGCAAACGCGTCGAGACGCTCGAAGCGCGCATACAGAGCTACGAGGAGGAGGAGGCATCATCCAAAGAAGACGGCGATGCGAGCGGCACGCTGGATCCGGATATCGAAGCCCTGGCCGCGCAAGCAAAACAACCAGACGCTGCGGCGCTTGCACGCCAACTCGCTCTCGCTATACGCCGCACAGCACATGATCTCACGCTAGATGTCCCTCGACGCTACGCGTATGAAGAGTGGGTGGAGTTCACGCGGCTCATACGCTTTTCCGTCGCGACGCACGACGACGATGTGCAGCGCGAGGAGGAAGAGGAGGGGCTTGTGCAGTGGGATTGGCTGGGGGAAGATAGTCCCATGATGGCTGATCAGAGCGAGAGTGAGTTTGTGCTGGATA